CCACTGTTGTAACTATTATTCCTTCTCCCTTACAACGTTTACACGGGTTCGGCTATAACGGCTTTGACCGTATACACCTTTCTACGTGGTTGGTATTACAGCTGGAGGGTTCGGTGCACAGCGTCCCACGGGACGTCACCTTGCCGTCTCTTTGACAGGTTATCAGCCGTATCGACAAGCTCTACACTGGACAGAGAGACAGCTGGTTTATTGCGGGTACAGGGACAATAAAGGAACAATAACCTACACAGTACAATGGCATCTTCAGCGAGCCCAAGTACTGCAACTTTTGGGAACAGCAGCTCAGAGGGATCCAATGGATTGATGGCTCTTCCTGCGGTGATGGATATGATCGCAGATTCACAGGACGAACCTGGGAGCGGAGGTTCCGCGCTATTCAGCGATATATCCACTCCCACAAGATCATGGAAGCAGATCGATGTTCATCAGGAGTCGAAGCAAAGAGAATCCCCGCCGAGAAGATCGTCATCTTCGCCTGCGACACCACGGACGTCGCAGAAGGGCGTGAGGTCAACATCAAAAGGTGGGAGGTCAAAATCACCCACCAGTGCAGAGTTTCGCGCCGCGATTAAAGAAAAGAACAAGATGGAGATGGAGATCGGGGAATATCAAAAGACACTTGATGAAATGTCGGCAGCGATGGCGAATCTTCATCAAGAAGACTATGGGAGCACCATCCGGATCCAGGAGCTGGAGAGACGATGCGAGATTGCCAGCAAGCAGTCGGGACATCTTGTGAGTCACCACCAACACCACATGGCTGAGGCATGGCGCAAGTTTGAGGAGGAAGCCCAACAGATGCGCAAGGTGGAAATGAACGCATATCAGTACGGGGAAAAGAAAGACATGGAGTCGAATGTTATAATGCAACAGATGAGACAAGCTGAAGGAACTATTATGGAGCAGAAGCGGGAGATTGCTGTGATGAAATCCTACATGGCAAGCGAGAAGTCGGCCGCGCAGGAATCAGCTATACATGCAAATCAGATACACCGTGAAGCTTCGCAACAAATATCAGTTTATCAGCAACAGATCAGAGGCATCGAATCGTCTACATCTATCGAGAAGTTCAACGAGGAGGAGATGGTCCAAAGCCTAAAATCACAGTTGGAGCACGCACTCGTCAAACGCCCCGAGACGTACTCTATGGAGGACTCCAGGGAACAGCTGATGGCGAGACTGAACGACGTTACAATATTCGCGGAACAAGAATCAAAGAGAGCAGATTGCTTGCTTCGCGAGAAGGAAGAGATCGTCAAACAGTATGAATCCGACGTGTCGATGAAGGACCAGATGATTGCTATCGAGGGTGGTCATCGTCAAGATGCGATCTTGGAGTTAGCCCAGGTCAAAGAAGCAAAACAAGAAGAACGGTGCACGATGGACGAGAAGTCGAAGGAGGCCGAGTACCGGAGATTGACAGCTAAGGGAGTGTATGATGAGTACCTCGAGGAGATGCACGAACTTCAGGGACAACTGAAGGACCGGGAGGCGACACTCAAGCAAGAAGAGAGTTTCGTTCGTCAACTTGATGCTGACAATGAGGAACTGACACAGGAAGCCTCTAGCAGTAAAGATGGACATCGTGAACGAGCAGTAGTGAAACGCGCTGAGGGAGGATCCCAAGCTAATTCAACTAAGGTAGACAAGAGGGTGACTGGATTATTCCCGTCATCGTCGTCGAATCTGACCCCTAATTCGTCACTATGCCAAGTTCGATTCTCTTTCCGTCTTTTGGTGATCCAATGATCGATGTACACCTATCCCAGATGCAAGGGGTTGTTGGGCATGTCCCACAATCCGCTACTACAACTGGTGGTGGTGATGGAGGGGGAAACAACGGTACTACACCCCCATTGGATTACGGTGGATTCTCGCCCAATGGAAATAGACAAGGAACAGGTCGACGTCAGTTGAGTCTCACAGGTGGCGGAGGAGGACCTCCGGATGATCCACCCGATGATGAGGACGAGGATGACGACGACGAAGAGGATGACGAGGACGAGGAAGAAGAAGAGGAAGAAGATGACAATCGAACACGGAGGAGGCGCAGAAGATCGAGGGATGATCGAGAGATCAAGAACGAAAGACCGAGGATTTCGAGGAAAGAAGCCGAGAGGGTGTCTATTCCTGCTTGGCCAAAGATCCATCAACTCGATAACTGGAAGATGCAACTGCTGATGAATGTTCTGAGCGCATGCGCAGATCCAGATACTGACACATGGACGAAATGGTTGGAACAGGCTCTTGGGTTAAACCCAGACCTGAATGTGCTGAGCGACTCCGGCGGCGACAGATTTGCTACGATAGATATCAAGATGGCCATGGGCATGCAGAACATGTTGAAACAAGCACCTGACGAAGCCAAAGACGTGTACCTCGACGCTACGCGACATTCGGAACTACGACATCAACAAGGAGTGATCGTGAAGGGACGAGAGTTGGTGGCATTGGTTATGCAATCATTCAGAACATCCGATAGAACGGATCTTGTCTACCACATCGAGCACCTATTCAACCTTGACTTTCCTGGAGACAAGAATTTGGTTATATTCAGGAACAAATGGTATGATTTGTTGCTAAAGATGAGGAGCGAAGACAGACCCAGCAAGTTGGCTCTCAGAGATATTCTCTACAGGAAGATCAAAGGGAGCAAGAAGATGATTCAACTCACTCGTGAGTGATAGAACCTTATTTGTCTCCTGTTGTTTGGTTTGTTGAACAAACCGGAACATGTCATGAGCTTGAGTTTTCTTTCAATTTGATCAAAGACCTGTCACACTCCCTTTTGGCTCAGGGTAGAGGAGGGTGGGAGCCCCTTCGTTTGTGTGACCGGGTATTTTTGCGCGTTCGCCATGGGGTGGGTTTGGTGAGATTTTCTCTGACACGCCTTGTGGCTGAGTGCTCTTCAGAGGAAGAGCTGGGCTTGACCTCCGGCGGCAACCTGCAGGAGGAGACAAAGGTCACGGCAAACAAAGGGACAAAGAGGCCTGCACTAGCTTCTAACGACGTGCTGTCAAAGGCGCTGGACGAGGCCAGATGGAGAACTGTCAGAAGATGCAATATCACCCTGCCATGGGAGACTGGGGTGTTCGCTGACATTTTCCGCAACAGCCGACATGAGGATCAACGTGCAATTTCTCGGAGAGGCACAATTGAGCGCCGCGGACGTGGTTGATGAAGTTGCAAAGGCAAGCAGCCTTTCCGATTCGGGTGCCAAGTTCAGATTTGCTTTGTCCAGTTTGAGAACCTGGCAGAGCAGCAAAGCAACAGTCAATCGGATCATGGGTTTTCCGGAGACTGTGATCAAACGTTGGCTCTGTATAATTTGGCATGCTTGTCTTGCTTCAACCGCCGGCCGCAAACTGTTTGAGCTTGACGAAACAGACAGGTGCAAGATGCTTGGAAAAATCCTTGGTGGAAAAAGTGTGTCAACCGTGAAAAAACGTGCCTTGGCCATTGGACGCATTTTGAATTGGTGGCGGAAAGATGACCGAGGTGGCGATACATTTTTCCCGTTGTCTGGAAGCAAGTTTGAACAGTACATGGCATTTGAGCATGAGAACGAAGCGCCCTATTCACGCATGGCGAGTGCACTCGAAGCCTTGCGGTTTTGCGAACATGTTTTTGGGTTCGATGTGGACGATCCTTATGATACAGTTGTCAATATCTGCAGGGAGCCCAGCAGGTTCGTCATCGACGTCGAGCAGCTCGTCAGAGGAATCGGCTAGTGACTCAGAAGATCAAGAGATTGAGCTGGGAGCCGAGCCTGGATCAGGGCTCTCACCTCTAGTCTGGAAAGCGGGCTGTGATGTATATCAGCACGTGAAAAATCAGACATTGCATTTGAGAGCTCATGGATCCGATGTGACAGCATTTCTTTGTGGGAGGATGATCACGGATTCGGGACACCGGCCTTTCAAAGGTGTCATATTTTGTGACTCCTGGAAATGCAGTCAGTGTGACAGAGCCAGGAGCATCAGGACGATTGACAGTCTGACCGAGGCCCTGGGCAGAGGCCTGGACAGAATTCGCTCGGGCCAGAAAAGCAGCCTAACACGTGTGCGTCCTTAGGGAGGAATGCGTGCTCTGTGCCTGTTTGTTAGTCTTGGCCCGAAATAATATGGTGCTTGTTTTCCTTATGGCCATAGTAGCCATGGCTGGTTGGCTGTGCGGCGCAGCTTGTATTCTTGCATGGCATCTATGGAAAGGGAAGCAAGAGAAGCGTGATCCTGATCGCTTCGAGCCGTTTGAGATCCGCATGGTGTGGGTCTGTGAAGGCAAGTTTTCTGAGTGCTACCACAAGGAGCGCGACTGCCAGAGTGTGCCACGCAAGTCAGGAAAGATGCGTCGGTGTAGGCAGTGTCTCAGATGTTTTCCCAGCGCAGGCTGAGACGCTTCATCCGTTGGAGCAGAAACATGTGTGCCTGTGTGCGGGTTGTCATTTTGTTTCTCCCACCTGTTTCTCTTTTAAGAGGTTTGGTGAAGCAATGGGGGGGGTCGGAGTCGACCTTTCTGAACTGTTTCAGGTTGAGGCTCGGTTGAAATGAAAGGGTCGGAGTCGACAAAAGCTTTCTCTCAACCCAGTTTCTCTGCATTTGATGTCGGTAGTGAGCATGATTTCCGGTTGTTTGTGAGTGCGGTGCGGCTGAGCCTAGGAGCGTAGCCAGTGAACCCGCACAATTCGATGGCGGCCTTGACTGAAAGCGGTGCGGCGTTTGAGTCGCGAGCTTCGGAAGTTGGCCTGTCGAGTGACGAGGTGGACATCCTGAAAGCCAAAGGCGTGACAACCCTTTCGAGGTTGGCCTACGCTTTGACGCAGCCAGGCAGTGCGCCTAGTGAAGAGAGCCTGAAAGGCCTCTTGGCCGCCGTCAATGGTGGTGGTGATCCCGCTTCAGTTGGAGCTGTGTCTGCCTTGCGAAGGGTAATTTTCTGAAGCTCAGACATTGGCAATGTCGGAAGTCCGAGCATTGGCCGAGGCAGGTGAGGATCACCACAAGGCAGAGTTGCCTAGCGCCGAGCGGCGCGACCGAGTGGTCAAACAAAGAGCCAGGTTGGGGGGTCTCGACCTTGGCGGCGAATTAGCTTGCTCGCACTGTTCGTACAGCACAGTGCTTCAAATGCAAGAGCAAGATCAGCTGTTGTTTTTGCATCCCAGTCGATTCGCGACTAGGCGAGCTGAAATTTCGCACGAAAAGCCTTCCCGGTCCGTGTCGTTGGACGCTGCCAACCAACTGGTGCTGAAAGAAAGCACCAAGGAAGTGAAGTGCGATGTTAGCTCTGAACTGTCGTTATCGCAAGCATTGTGCCGACGATCCTTAGCATTTGACTTGGTGGGAGTGGCATCTTATGACAAATTGGAGGCATGGAGCAGGCACCTCATGCACCATTTGCAGATGGAACCTCCGCCCAGCTACGCTAAGGTAGGCGTTGACCAGATCCTGAGAGCCGACAAACAGGCGTTTCTTCGGATGGCGGAGTTGCTTCCCAAGGGTTTGAAACGTGATCCTGCAGGAGTGTTGCCCTTGGATGCTTGTTTGGATAAGATCTATTCGGACCCCTCTGTGCAGTTTCATCTCCTTCCCCTTCCCGGAAGCAGACGTGGTGAAGCTATGGCTGCGAATATTGGCGCTGGGCCTGCAAGCTCAAAAGTCACCGTGAGGGACAGTGAGAAGAAAGCGCACGACTCCGCACGAAGGAATCCGAAATCGCCGCCGAAGAAGAAAGCCAAGGGGAAGGGAAAGAATAAGATCAACCCTCCCCAAGCATTAGCGGGAAAAGCTTCGGAGACCAGCAGCGGCGAGCGGATTTGTTGGGCATTCAACCTTTCTGGTTGCAGCGGAGCATCCCCCGGACAGTCTTGCTCCAAAGGGAAGCATGTGTGTGCGGAGCCTGGGTGTGGCAAGCCGCACTCGATTTCCCAGCACTGACAATCGGCCGATGACGTGTCACCTCATGAGTTCTTTAAGAGACTTGATGAGAGAATTTGGAAATCAGAACTTGAGTCGCTAATGTGTCTCGAAATATTCAGTGGCAGTGGCCGTCTCACTGCATCGTTCCGCAGAATAGGCTGCACTCAAAGCTGTGGAATTGATCATGTTGTGCCCAAACGTGTTCAGGCTCCGACGATATGCCTGGACCTTGCATCCGATTCGGGAATGGAAGCGCTAGTGGAAATGTTGGAGCATCCGTGCCTGGTTTATGTGCACGCAGCGCCTCCTTGTGGCACCGCTAGTCGCGCAAGGGAGATTCAAAGCGGTGGGAGCCGCTTGCCTCAGCCTCTTCGAAGTGTGTCATGCCCGGATGGGCTCGAAGGCCTACAAGGCACAGAGCTCACTCGCGTGTTGCTTGCTAATCGGTTGTACGCTGTGACAGGACTTGTGACTCGCATGTGTTGTCGTCGAGGCATTCTTGTTTCAGTGGAGAATCCCTTTAGGTCGCACTTGTGGGACACCAGCTTCTGGAACAAGTTCACAGTGGATCTGAACCTGCGCGTCGTCGGCTTTCATCATTGCATGTTTGGAAGCAACAGGAAAAAGTTCACAAAGTTGATGGGCAACTTCAGAGAGCTCTCGCTGCTTGCTGTGACGTGCAATAACAAACATGGCCACCTGCCGTGGGGCCGGTCGTCAAACAACAAGTGGGCCACAGCCGAAGAGTGTGCTTACCCGTGGCCGCTATGCAAAGCTTGGGCCGAAGTGGTCACCGACCTTTTCATTGCCCGAGGAGCACTGCCGATGCCCAGGTGCTTGAAAGAGTGTGTTGTTTCAGGAGCCAACGCCCATGTCCGGCAAGCCAGAGCCGCCGCTGGCTTGCAGCCCAAATCCAACATCCTGGCACCCCTAGTGCCAGAGTTCCGTGAAATCCTGGTGCTATTAGGCAATTTCGTAAACTATCCCAGAAAGTTTGTCGAAAATTGGGCCATCCCGGCAGGGATCAGTTGCAACCAAAATTTGCGTGTTGCGCCCAAAGGCAGCCGCCTCTTGCGCACGCAGTGGCAGGGGGTGGAAACTGGGGTGGAAACTGGGGTGGAAACTGGGGTGGAAACTGGGGTGAAAACTGGGGTGGAAACTTTGCAGACGCTGGAAAGTTCGCTGGAAACTTCGCAGACAGGTCTCAAACGTGAATCCCAAATTGGCAGTACCGGCACAGGTGTCGCAGGCTCGACATTCAAAGCTGTCATTGGCATACATTGGACCCCTCAGGAATTCGTTGAGAAATCCAGGGAGTCCAAACACCCTAGATGCCTGGTGGATGGCTTGCCAGCGAGACTCAAAGCGGCCATCGAGTGCAATGTGTGCATGCCGGCTCAGATCCTTGCTCAGAATCGCACTGCAACTCTTAGGAGATGGATGACGCTTGGGTACTCTCTAAGGGAACAAGAAAAGGTTCTCAGAGATGCGATGCCCCCCAAAGCCAGAGCCATCATGAGCATGAAGAAACTTGCCCTCTTTGAAGCGTTGCTTTCGGAAATTGAACATGAGGACAAAAGCGTCGTGAAGCAAATGGCGCACGGGATCGAATTGGCGGGGCCGATACCAGAATCAGGTGTGTTCAAAAGGAAGCCTTCGCTTGCAAGCCTCACCGTTTCTGATTTGCGCAGACAAGCAGCCAGCACCAGGAAAGGCATCCTTGCTTCAACCAGAAGTTCAGGTGATGTCGCCCTGGATGAGGAGCTGTACTCGCAAACTTTGAATGAAGTGAAAAAAGGCTGGTTGGAAGGTCCGTTGGACTTGGGCCTGCTTTCAAACTTTGCCAGCGTGACTCGTCGTTTCGCCATTCGACAGGGGCCGAAGTGCAGAGCGATTGACAACTTCAGTGAATCCTTGATCAACCAAACATCTAGCAGTGTGGAATCTGTGACTGTTCATACCGCAGATGTGATTGCCGGGAGCCTTGCTTACAGATTTGATTGCGCGAAGAAGTTGAACAAAAGTGAAGCCATCGTTGCTCAGGCATGGGATCTTCGGAGTGCATACAAGCAGTTGTGTGTGAGCGAGGATGCATTGACCGAGTCTTATCTGTCGGTTTGGAACCCCGATAAGTGTTGTGCGGAGATTTTCCTGCAGGTGGTTTTGCCTTTCGGAGCATGTTCTTCAGTAACGGGGTTCATCAGGGCGGCCATAGCGTTGTGGGCTCTTGGAGCCAGTGGCCTATCGTTGCACTGGAGCAATTATTTCGACGACTTCTTGATCTTCTCAAGTGCCGAGATCGCCAGGCATACCGAGCTGAGTGTGAGTGCATTCTTCCGTTTGCTTGGATGGGAGGTCTCGTCAGACAAACTTGCGAGTTTCGACACTTGTGCCAAAGTGTTGGGCATCATGGTCGATCTTTCTGACTGTCATTTGTTCCAATGTCACCTGAGGAACACTGCAAAACGTGTTGAGGACATCAGTGGTCAAATTTCGGAGATCCTTGACCAGGGCTTTCACAAGGCTGGTGCGCTGGCAGCTCTCAGGGGCCGTCTGCAGTTCGCAGAAACTCAGATTGCCGGGCGGCAGGCGTGCAGGGTCATGGTAGTGGTGCGCACTTCTGGCGCCACAGGTGGGTATTTGGCGGGCAATCAGGCGCCACAGACCTAAAGCCTTTAGAGTAAACTTGTGTTCGTTTCCAAGAATCACCTGCGGCAGCTGGGGCGCACTGTTGGGTCGCTGGCGATGGTCGCCAGATACGACACATGGCCACGGGTGTCTGCGAGAGAAGCGTGTCAACTGCTTGGCCACCCCAGCACGACGCGCCACAGTTGCCACAGTGCCCTGCGCCGCAGGAATGTGGTACGCCAGAGCGGTCTCATCATGTTGACGATCAGTGGGTCACGGTCAGCAGGTGCTTCAGACAGGGCAAAGTAACTACTCTGCACACGCAAACTTTTGCGACCCCAAATTTGGGCCTATTCAACGGACCCCAAATCAGGTCCATCGACTCTCACCCAAAACCTCTACTTGACTGGCCAAACATTTCCTCACCTCGAACACGCTGGCTTCAACCCTGCACCGCGCCTTGGCCTGTCCCTCCAGCGGCACAACCTCCTGCACTTTCAAGACACCAAGCCGTGGCTGGGCATTGAAGGACGCAGCGAGCGCACGCCGCCCTCAGATGGAATTGGAAGGCATGAAGCACAACGCCTTTTCAACCAGCTGGTCACGGAAGGCGCCACCCGTGCTGCTGTTCTGCTCCACGATCCATCCGAAGAGCTGGTGTTCCACCACATATCAAGCACAGCGCACCCTGCGCCCGCACAGCGCTGACATCCCTGAGTTTTGGGAAAACACCTTCTCGACATCCGTGAAAATTGTAATTGTACACCATCCCCACCAGTGGAAACGCAATCGCGTGCATCAAAGCGCCTGCCGCGTGCTGGCGCTAACTGCCTCCAGTCTTCTCTTTCTTTGTTGGGCGCCCGAATCTCGCGCCAGGTCTGACACAACTCTGCTTTGCACTTCCCTTGTCGGCGCTGTGTGCTTCACCAGCGCCAGTCTCCACACACCCCTGGTTCGCCCGTGCTGCCAGCATGCCTTTGCTTGCGACCTGCACTCCACCACTTCGTTCCACGTTCCACAAGCTCTCTGGTCCTTCTGCACGCTGTTCCACAAGCACACACAAGCCACGCACAGTACACGAAGAGAAAGCTCTAAGGTTCTCGGATCGCCTGCTTATACAGCCGGTACAGCTGCTCCTTAGCAGAGGGCGCTTAGCTCCTCGATGACGGCGTCCTTGTGCTGTGCGCAGCCTCAACAGCAGAGAAATTGCATGTTAACCCGCACGGCTGCGCTGATGAGCCTCAGCTTCTGCGAGCTCACCAGGGCCTTGGATGAAGAGCGTGTCAAGGGCGCCGTGCGGCTTGTGGAGTTGCGGCGTGTCAGCAAAGTCGTCAATGACTCAAGCACCTGGTACAGTTTCTTCATTTCCAACTCCTTGGCGCCTCCGTGATCTTGCGCTGCTGCTGGATGATGCGCCGCAGGCGGACTTATCCCCTTGCCCAGTAGCCTGCTCACGCTCCGTGTTCACCCCCAGGTCCTGCTCGATGTGCTTCTTGACGGGGATCCAGCCATCATCGATGTTGACGCTCCGCTCAAACACGCCCTTGTACTCCAGGAAAGCGCCACGGTCTTGCCCGACTTGCTGGGCCCAAGGAAGATGCCCGTGCATGGCGCCAGGGGCGCCACAGGGTCCGAGGCTTGGTGTACTCGGCGTGAGAAAAGCTTGATCTCCCCATTTGTTCTTTTGCAGTTCCGGAAGGCGGCCAGCAGTCCGGACCTGAAAGTAAAGGCCGGCGTGCAGCGTGCACCTTTGGAAGACACGTTGAATGTAACACTGCCGCACAGACAAAGCGGGAACCTTACAGAAAGGCTGGAGTCTTCTTTAGCGATCTGAATCTTCCGAACTCAAACTTGCTTAGAATGGGACATGTTCCTTGCGGGAAGAAAACCCGCGACCCAAGGGACTTGGCAATGCAACACCATAGCACGGCACATTTTTGTTTGCCAGAACTCACTTTTGTATATGCACGAGCGCAGCGTTTTTTGACAATCACCTTAAAACCTGCGCCCTGCCATAGAATCCGTCCCTCTTGAGGATGAACGGGGTTACCCTGGACGCTAGGCACGTGTTGGTGCTGCACCCACCCTTCTTCGGTTCGCTCTGCCAAGTAGCTTCCAGGTGGACCTATCAAGCTGCAAATCGGCCCAATCAGCAGGCTTAGAAAATTCTGCACCACATGCTTGCTAGTCCACCCTACTTCTGCGGGTTGCGCAGCAAGTTGAACGACTGTTCGGAGTTTCTTTGCGCGGCAGCCTACTGCCTCCGAGCTGCGTGCGGCGGCTGCGCTGCCACCGTCCAACGTGACCGTGCAGGACGCTGGCCTATCTGCGGCTGCCCGAACCCAGCACCCCAGCAATGCAAGTCTCTCTCTCTTTAGAGGGGATTTCCCAAATGGATTCTATTCTACCTGAGAGGTTCCCAGCACTCGTCCGTCCAGGAAACGACCTCGTCCTGCGAAGGATTCGAAGTCAAAAACGCTGCGCGCAGGCGTGCGGCTGCAAAATAATGACCCCTAGATATGCGCCGCAATTTGGCTCCAGGTTGCATTTCAAGCGAGCCAACCTTTGCAGGGCTAAGAAAAAAACAAGGGGTTTCCTTTGGCAAAGCTTGACATCGCTTGAAATGCAACCTGGAGCCAAATTGCGGCGCATATCTAGGGGTCATTATTTTGCAGCCACACGCCTGCACACAGCGTTTTTGACTTCGAATCCTTCGCAGGACGAGGTCGTTTCCTGGACGGACGAGTGCTGGGAGCCTCTCAGGTAGAATAGAATCCATTTAGGAAATCCCCTCTAAAGAGAGAGCTTGGCCTGCTCTGCAAAGAAGCGTGCTCTGCAAAGAAGCGTGCTCTGCAAAGAAGCGTGCTCTGCAAAGGAGCGTGCTCTGCAAAGGAGCGTGCTCTGCAAAGAAGCGTGCTCTGCAAAGAAGCGTGCTCTGCAAAGAAGCGTGCTCTGCAAAGAAGCGTGCTCTGCAAAGGAGCTCTGCACAGGAGAGTGCTCTGCAAAGAAGCGAGCTCTGCAAAGAAGCGTGCTCTGCAAAGAAACGTGCTCTGCAAAGGAGAGTGCTCTGCAAAGGAGCCCTGCAAAGAAGCGTGCTCTGCAAAGAAGCGTGCTCTGCAAAGGAGAGTGCTCTGCAAAGGAGAGCGCTCTGCAAAGAAGCGTGCTCTGCAAAGAAGCCTGCTCTGCAAGGAGCGTGCTCTGCAAAGAAGCGTGCTCAAAGAAGAGTGCTCTGCAAAGAAGCCTGCTCTGCAAAGAAGTGTGCTCGCTCTGCAAGGAAGCGTGCTCTGCAAAGGAGAGTGCTCTGCAAAGGAGAGTGCTCTGCAAAGAAGCGTGCAAAGGAGAGCGCTCTGCACAGGAGAGTGCTCTGCAAAGAAGCGTGCTCTGCAGAGGAGAGTGCTCTGCAAAGAAGCGTGCTCTGCAAAGAAACGTGCTCTCCAAGGAAGCGTGCTCTGCAAAGAAGCGTGCTCTGCAAAGGAGAGTGCTCTGCAAAGAAGCGTGCTCTGCAAAGAAGCGTGCTCTGCAAAGAAGCGTGCTCTGCAAAGGAGAGTGCTCTGCAGAGGAGCGTGCTCTGCAAAGGATGTGCTCTGCAAAGGAGAGTGCTCTGCGCAGGAGAGTGCTCTGCAAAGAAGCGTGCTCTGCAGAGGAGAGTGCTCTGCAAAGAAGCGTGCTCTGCAAAGTGCTCTGCAAGGAAGCGTGCTCTGCAAAGAAGCGTGCTCTGCAAAGGAGAGTGCTCTGCAAAGAAGCGTGCTCTGCAAAGAAGCGTGCTCTGCAAAGAAGCGTGCTCTGCAAAGGAGACTGCTCTGCAGAGGAGCGTGCTCTGCAAAGGAGTGTGCTCTGCAAAGGAGAGTGCTCTGCACAGGAGAGTGCTCTGCAAAGAAGCGTGCTCTGCAAAGGAGAGTGCTCTGCAAAGGAGAGTGCTCTGCAAAGGAGAGCGCTCTGCAAAGAAGCGTGCTCTGCAAAGGAGAGCGCTCTGCAAAGGAGAGTGCTCTGCAAAGGAGAGCGCTCTGCAAAGAAGCGTGCTCTGCAAAGAAGCGTGCTGTGCAAAGAACGTGCTGCGCAAAGAAGAGTGCTGTGCAAATAAGCGTGCTTTGCAAAGAAGTGTGCTCTGCAAAGAAGTGTGCTGCGCAAAGAAGCGTGCTCTGCAAAGAAGCGTGCTGTGCAAAGAAGCGTGCTCTGCAAAGAAGTGTGCTCTGCAAAGAAGCGCAAGTGTGCTCTTGAGCTCCCTCTCAAGAAAGAGTCAATATTGATCCATTTCATTATTGCCTCAAGAATGGCAAGGCCACCCGGCCGCGCCACCTGCCCGGCATAGAAGCCTCCCGGCCGCGCCACCTGCCTGGCATTGAAGCCTCCACCCCGGCCGCACCACCGCCGACGGGTTCGCCCAACGACTCTTAGTAGCTGAACTCTACGCGGGCATCAACCAAAAAATGGTTGGTGCCTGTTTCCAGTTCCGAGGCCAAAAATCCTACACCGTGACGGTCATACGGATTGGCACTGCGCCACCCGGCCGCGCCACCTGCCCGGCATCGGAGCCTCCCACCCGGCCGCTTCGCAAGCACAAGTGCCACTTGTGCTTGCGAGCATCACATTCCTGCCCGGCAGAGCCGCGCCAGCCCGCCGACGTGGAGGCTTCGATACCGAGCGCGCCGCTCGAAAACATACGTGGCACTTATGTTTTCGAAGTGGGTTCGTTTCAATGCGTTCCACCACCCGGCCGCACCACCTGCCCGGCC